TTTTAAAATGTCTCTGTTTTCTGTTTGTAGCCCTTTGATCTGGTAACTCATTACTCGAGCAGAATGTCTGTCAGCTAGCTGGAGACAGGAAATAGGTTTCATGAAGCTCTTAGCTTTTACCATTGTCTTTCAAGTGTGTATAAGGTGTTTTTTAATCCAGGAACCACTGTGGTTGCTTTTGTGTTTTGTTCCAGCAGTTCCTATTAAATTAGGGTAGTTTAATTTGACAGGAAAGTCTAATGACTCATTGTAGCTATAGAGTAACTTAATTCCATTGGGCTGATTACACATTATATTTACTCGAATAATCCAGAATTAATATGCAATTCTTAGATTGTCACATAACAGTTTCACATCTGAGACTTTGCTGACACTCAAGCCTTGTCTGCTTTTCAGTTTTGTAGGGAGAAAGGGTGAATATGAATTTTTGAGAGTAGCTATAGACCGTTCCTGTGGGTTAGTTCAGTCATGTCAGAGCTTGAGTTTTGGTGAGGTTATTATAGGCATGAAATAACACCTCAGATTAATAAATTTGATTGGCACTTCCCATAAGAAAAGATCTATTTGCCCGTTTGGGCTGTAACTTCTCTTGTGGATATCTGTCTGTGTGGAAAATTTCAAACAAAACTTTGGAGTTGTTTCAGAGAGCAAGTCTGAGAGAAAACACAATCTCTTGCCCACATTAATAACAGCTCTAGAAACCATTTATCTGAAATACTTCAGATAGCTTATCTTGTGGAGGAGGGGCATGAGCCAGGGAGAAGGCAGGGAAGGAGAGAGACGCGGCATGCGTCATCCTTGCATGATGGCATGCTGCCATCCCAGGCAGAAGATAAGAACTTCCTCTTCATATCAGCGTCAGAAATAAAGGTAATTTTTAAATGGGGCATGGTGCATTTAACAAGATGGCAAGACACACATTTGCTATCTTAGTTGTTTCAGCTGGCTTGGAGTCATTAGCCAGCAGCACTGAGCTATTTCCCTTCTCAGACAGCTCCCAAGGGAGCGGCTCTAGAAGCAGGATTTGATGCATGTGTCTAGGTCTCCCTTTAGTGGTGGTGTGCAGCAGCTATAACCACCTGGGATTGCTCCTACCTGCAAGGATCACTTCTTCACCAGAAGTAATGGGGCTTTCACTGATGGTTATGGGTTTGGTCTGGTGCACACTTGCTCATGCTTTAAGATGCATCCTCCCTACTCTTCTTCAGGCCAACAATCAACAGATGAGAGATAGGACATGAGGTTCTGGCCAAAGAAGGGCGGATGATCAGTAGGCTTTGAAGCAGGGGAAAGGTGTGCTGTGCTTCAATAGGTGGAAGACTTTGGCAGGGGTGGGGGATTTGGTTGTAAAAGGAAGAAATATGGAGGATCTTGGAGTTGTGAAACGAACAAAGCTTCTAGTGGGAGAGCATAAGACGAGGAACAAAAAGAATTTTCTTGGTCTCTGTTCCTCACTAAAAAAAACCTCAGGAGAAAAATATTTATAGTGACAGAGCCAAGTTTAAAGATTTATGGGTAAGACTTGGTACTGAAATTATGAAAGATTCAGTAGCTAGTCACTACAGAAGTGCTGCGAGCCAAATTCTGAAAAGCCTGGAAATTTGCTTAGGTTTTATGATGATATTCAATCCAGCACCTGCCCTCTCACCTGGCTATACCATTCTTTGTTTTTCACAGGACGGAGGTACTGCTCTTCTAGCTGCTTGTCAGTACGGGCATGCAAAAGTAGTAGAAACTCTGTTGAAGCACGGTGCCAACATTCATGATCAGCTTTATGTAAGTTATTTGACACAGATAATACTGACAACACTGGTGGTGGAACAAATGTGCTGTTGGTTGGACAGCAGCAGATACTCTGTCTCCAGTACAGAGAAGCATTTGCCAAACATTGCAGTTTTATGCTACTCTACTCTTCTAAGATGTGAATTTTGTTAACTGTTTGCTTTTCCTGATCCCGGCAGAAGTAGCACAAGATCAGAAATTATGATTTGGCTGCCTTTTCATTCGTTATCTATATGAAGGATGTGTACCAAATTTGGACCAGATTTGTGCTATCCATTAGCCTTAAGGAAAATACCATGTCACGTTCTACCATGATTTACATTGCAAACAGAAGAGTGAATAGCTATAAAGCCCCTGAGTTACTAGAGAATCGTTCATTAGTTTTCTTCCAGAAAGAGCAGTAAAAGTTAAAATCTTTAAATATCTTTAAAATATTTTTTAAAATAACAGTTAAAATGATGTTATTTAGTATTTGTGTATCTCTATTGTGTCAGTGCTTTGGGCAAAGAATGGTTAAAAGGGCTGAACTGGCGGTGTTTAGCTTTTCAGAAAGCTAGATTGAGCCAATGAAGCACTGGATTTAATTTACTCCAATAGAGACACAAATAAATTGAGCTTTTCAGCATTCAGTAGAAACAAGCAGCAGATTTTCC